AGGAATTTCCAGATGTGAGCTCGGGAGTTTATCTTTATGAGGTTATACCTGGAACAGCTGCCTCCAGGTAAATGTCTGGTAATAAACTCCAATAATATGTGGTGTGCAACATTTCATTCAGCTCGCAGTTTTAAAAGAAGGACAAAAAATAGTAGCTTTTTAATTTTTATATAAATTAAATCCACGTGTCTTTGGTGGTTGTAGCGACACTATACTGGTTGTCAATGAGAGACCCGTCTACCTGATTATAGGAATATTTAAAGGTTCAGTATGTAGTGTTTAGTCACACCTAGTGGTGAAGTTTCATGTTGCAGCTGAACACCCCTCACCCTCTCCTTCCAAACATGACAGAGAACCTGTGGTAGCCTTCAGTTGTCATAAAAACTCAAAAGGTGTTTAGTTTGTCCAGTTTGGACTAATGTAAAAAAAACATGGTGGCCTCCAGAGAGAGGACCCGCCCCCAATATGAATATAAAGTATTTAAAATATAAAGGGCCCATTCTAGGGTAAAGAAAATTACAATTTGTACAATTTAGATGAAACACACTAGTGAAAACATCACTAGGATTATTTGATATCCAGTTTCTGCCAATAGATCCCTTCACCTAAATCGTACACACTGAACCTTTAAAGCTGCACCAAGCAATTTTTTATAGGTCCCTGTGCACTGGTTTCTAACTGTCAGAATTTACAGTCACATGGAGGAGTTAGATATTTCTGAAAGTATCATCGGATGCAGAAAGAGTAAACACACCTGAGTGCAGGATGAGTTATCAAACAGCTGAAACCATTTTACAAGAAGAGAAAATACTCAAATGTAAAATATGATATTGTTTTTTGATGTGTAATTGACAACTGACTAATCAACACAGGAACACAGCATGTTTAATTGAATGTTTACACATTTAGCTGACACAGAGCAGCATTAGCATTCATTTGGAGTTACGTTTCTGTGTTCGCTTGATGAACAGGACGAGCAGAGTTGCGATAATTCTCTCTGGGTTCATTACTACAAATGCTTTTACTTCACAAATTAGTAATTTAATCCATCCCTAATAAAAAACATATTGGGGCTTTAATATGATTTGTTTTTCACAATGGATTAGTCTATATTGTACATATACTGAGACTTTCCCAACCTATAGAAGAAATATTTAGGTTTGAAAAATGAATGTGATCAAGTTTATGGATTTCTTTCATCTGCAGTTTGAGTTCTGAACACATCAGCATCATGAGTAGTCTTTGAAAGACACAGGTCACAGTGCTGGTACCTGTGAGGGATGTCCTGAACACCATCTCTGGGGTTTTGAAGCTTCAGTGAGAATTACATGCGAATCCAGTCTCTCTCCACTGTTGCTAATCAGAAACAACTTTGTCAACATAAAATGTACGTTTTTACCTTATGAAAATATTTCATATTTTGTTGTGTTCCCACTAGCGTGAGTTTCAAAGCAAGGCAACCACGGCGGCGAGTTGTTTTTATTGGAAAGTGTTACTGGAGCTAATCTGTATGATGCACAGTCTGAGCGTGTGGAGGCACTGGGTTTTATTAAATGCACCAGCGGTGCGGTGAACCTGCTTGCGGAGGCCTCTGGATGTTTTCCGAGGTGTAAAATAAGAGCATCCCTGCAAAGCTCTGACATCTCGGTGAAGAGCGGGAGAACGATGTGTCTGTTCGGACTCTCAATGTTCTTAATAGTCTCCTGTGACAGTGAAGCCTGAAGCTTTGAACAGCAAACAGCAGCAGTCTAACATACAACCAGTGCAGCAGAGTTTACCAGGACGTGCTGCTCCTTGTGCTCCTCAATATTGTCTGGTGCGATCTGATTGACTGACTCTACAGTCTTGCACACTTTGTTAATCAGTCTCCATAAGATCATCAGTAAGAATAATGGCCTCATGTATAAATGTCAAGCAGTGCAGTGCATTATGAAGCCGTGAGCCCACCGCCTGTTTACTCTGTGAGGAGGAAGAAGCCTGACACGGGAGCAGACTTGCCTAAAGGTCAATGATGTTTTCCTGAAGGTATGAGATCCACCCTGCTGGGTTGGGTCTGTTTTAGTAAGGCTTTACGTGACACTCAGGTATGGCGTTGTTTTCTCTGCAGCGCCGGCATGATCAACCACGACGTCATCATCGCCATCAACGGGCGGCCCGTTCACACCATGGAGGAAGTGAGCGAAGCCGTCCAGAGCGGCGCCGTGCTTTCAGTGTTGGTGAGAAGGAAGAATGGCGATGTTACGCTGACTGTCGTTCCCGGGGGGGCGGACTGAGACTACAGATCAAATGCGAAGAATGAATGTACTCCATCATACTGCAGTGTACTGGACTGAGTGGTTAAACAGCTGTGGGTGATGTGCACTGTATTTTCTGGTCTATTGTCTGCTTACAAGAGTGACGTAACTGGAGCTTAAAGAGGTTCAATGGTTCAAGGTGTAAACAGAGTGTGTCCACTTTCTGTTCAACGCATTGTATAAAACTCCAGGGCAGACACAAAGTAGTCCTCAATGAACTGGAGGTGAGTGGCTAAAATTATTATTTATTCCTCCTTCTCGAAAAAAGACAAATTAAATTTTTCTTTAAAAAAATATTTTCCTTGTTTTTTACATGGAGGTGTAATTTGCCCAATAACACACTAGCATTCTGCTAATGCAGGTTGAGGATTCTTACATGTCTGTGACAGGGCAGCTTCCTCAGAGTCTAAGGCAAAGTGAAATTGTGAAGTTAAAAATGACCATCTACCAGAAGACACAGTTGTGATAGACTGTGTCAATCTTGTTATTGTAATGATTAGTGCTTGATTGATGGGTAAAACCAAAATGACTAATGCCATGAAGTGGTCACAAATACTTAAAAAAGGTATTTCACTATAATAGAAAAGGTGCACATCTAATCTTATGTTACTGCATCTATTGTTTGGGCCGCTCATATCAAAACATGAAGACATTTTTTTACCCCATAAACAGGGCTAAGGCTTCAAGCCAGTGTTGAGGTGGAAGTTCTCCCTATGTTAGAGATGTTCTGGTGTGAAGACATTTTGTCAATTACTCTTTATTAAAAGGCAAGGGCCATTTTCAGCCACCATTTTCCACAAGGTTGGGCAATCACAGATGGAGATATCATCAAACATAATTATACAAATTTCTCCTTCTGTGACACGGAGCAAGACAACACACCGCTTTCTGCCCGACAAAAGCAACTGAGCAACAACAGTAACACAACACCAGTGATCACAAACCACTGTATTTGACTGACCAGCTACATGTAAATGCCCACACTCTTTTTTACATGAGCGTTGGTCACAAAATAACATGCAGGGATGCTCTGTACTTCACAATCCGGTGGTTAAACGGTTGTTTGATTCAAATCAATGCAGTTAGTTGAGGTTTTATTATCCAAGGTTTTTAGAGATCCATCTCTGCCTCCAGCCTAATGCAACATGTGAGATGAATGAGTTCCATGTGTGCTGCTCACACCGCTGAAAAACCAGATTCCTGCATCAACTTGTACGTCCAGAGACAATGTGGACAATTAAGACTGTGAAGTAGCTAAGGAGTCACCAAGGAGTTAAAAAAAAACGACTCTTGCTGCATTCCCAGCATTCTGCAAGTTTTAGAGTGATCTTTTTATCCCCATAAAGTCCCTGCTCGATGGAGGAGGAAGGAGATCACATTAAAGACAACAGAAGGTCATATGACAGAGTCAGGTGGAGCAGAGGAGGATCCCGGAGAGAGACATGCAATAAGAGAGTGAGAGTTTTTTCCCCATTAACTACTAAAACGTATTTGCCTTATCAAAATATAATGAAGATCTAAGGACCCCCACTTCAATCAGAAGATACTTTACAACAGTCAGCTGTTTGGAAGAGGCGGGAGAGTTAAAGAGAATTGAGAATGAATGAGACATAGAGAAAGTCTTCCTGAGTGAACTTTCCCTTAGCCATTGTGGTTATGACGATGTTATTGGTTATGACGATGTTATTAAGAGAATATTCATTTTGTCTGTGATAATTTGGATTCAATCCACTTCACTTAATAATCTCTGATGAAATGTTTGAATGACAGGGCGGGACCTCACATGAGCTCTGTTCATACCCAAGAAAAAAACCTTGATTGGTGAAAACTGATGTGGCTCTTCCACGAATTAAAGGTCCAGTGTGGAAGATTTAGGTGAAAGGGATCTAATGGCAGAAATTTAATATAAAATTATCCTAGTGTTGTTTTCACTAGTTCGTTTCATCTAAATTGTATGAAATGTTGTTTTCTTTACCTCAGAAAAGGTCTTTTATATTTAAATACTTTATATTTACATTGAGGGGACCCTCTCTACGGAGGCCGCCATGTTTTTTACATTAGTCCAGACTGAACAAACTAAACACCTTTTGAGTTTTTATGACAACTGAAGCTACCACAGGTTCTTTTTCATGTTTGGAAGGAGAGGGTGAGGTGAGGGGTGTTCAGCTGCAACATGCAACTTCAACACTAGATATCACTAAATTCTACACACTGTACCTTTAAGGCCAATCTCTCTGTTTTTTGATAATTCATATTTTGCATTGAGGGTGGATGCACAAACCCCACAGTCTAATACTATTGGAGCTGAAGCAAGAACTTGATTTCTAATGTGGGGCATACGATCCATCAAAAGTTATCTGTGTGCTCAACATTATGTGCTGAGTGACTTTTTAATACTGGATGTGTATTATCATCACAAATGTTCACATTGAGTTTGGTTGAAAACACAAGTCAGTGCACTGAGCCTCTGACATCAGCATGTGTGAGCCTTCGTGCATATTTATTCTTCCATAAAATATTCCACTCACTCTTTTTGCCACAAAACAGATTATGATAATGGTTATGTTATAGCCCTAATTATACTTGTGTAAATAAATGTAATATATGGCCAGTCATTGTTCTTCAGTCTTTTATTGGCATTCTACACTTCACTGACCACGGCCCATTAAATCCAGTCAGAGAATGAAGAGGACACGCTGTACCTGATACTTTTTATTGAGTCATAATGAGCGTGAACAGTTTTAATACAACACTTCCCTCTCACCATTGTTACAGAGGAGATTCTCTTCCTGGAGCATGTGAGTGTTTTAATAAAAAAGTTAAAGACAAAGGAAAAAAGTTTTTTTAAGCTTAATTTTATTTTAGAAGTTGGAAAAAATGACACAAATTTAAAATAAAAGAAAATGAGTGTATTCCGCTAATGCTCCCAGGAACATGTACGCCTCAACACATAAAACATAAGGCAAATAAATAAATAGTGCAGTGGATTAAAGTTAAAGAATATAAAACCAAGCTTCTGCTGGGCGGGTCGATATTATTTACAGTATTTTACAAAGCCCAGAGTCCACAAATTAAAGTTTCACTACACACCATGTTTTATACAAATGAAGGGCGACTATGCGGAGCTGGGTTTGGATTTAACAAAGAAGACATTACATTCAGATTGAAGACAAGACCTCAGACATGGAAAGACTCTCTAATATTTGACAGCTGGGTAAGACTGCATATGCATTACCATTTTGTGAACTAAGTGGAAAATTGCAAATGGAAAGCTGTGATTTAATGCTCGCCCTCTACAAAAGATGTTTAGTCGCCTGAAAATATATTGCCTGCTAAAAGCATATTGCTGCTGCAGGATGACAGCGGTCGACTCGATGACGCTCATGTCTTCTTCAACTTTTTATGACAACACCTCAAAGGGTTTTTATGGTTCCTTGGGTAATGAAACCTGCTCAATCTGTGAAAAGAGCACATAAACCTTCCATTTAGGGTAAAACGAGAAATTTAACAAAGCAGGATAAAAGGTGAGGATTTTAATATTTAATGTGAGACCTGAGCTTAGCTGGATAAAGCCAATGAAAATCTGAATTTGTTTTAGTTTCAGACATTTGGACAGGGCCAAGCTCGACTCCTGAATGCTAAGGAGGGAAGTGCTCCCACACAGCTCAGAAGTAAAGTTTTAATTTTTCTTTTTTTAGATGGAGGAAGATATTGCATTCCACATCTCAAAACTACTAAATCACCACCTCACTTATGTTATCACCAACCATCTGTAGTTCTGCGTTCTCACTTGCTGGAGGCTGAAAAGTTAATCAGTCTAAGTACAGTCTGAAGTCAGGAGAGCAGAAATGTGATGGACTCCAGCAGCAGAAGACAGTAAAAGCAAAGCTGGGCTACTTGTCGGTGTAGGATGTTGCCCTCAGGCTGTGGTTCTAAAATCACTGCTCCAAGTTCAACTGGAGAGGAGGATTCTTGGTTGACATGCAAAGTCATAAATATGATCAGAAACTGCCAGCTGGGTTATATGATCTTTGTCGAATAAGACTTATATCAGGACGTATACCTTCCATCGAACCTCAAACTCTCCAGGATGTGGAAGTTCATTCCTAAACTGGGACCAAAGAGCAGGAAGTGCCTAACTTTCTGCCATTAGAGCGCTCTGTGAGATTGTAGGTCACGTCAAAACACTGAATTGAGGCAAAACAATCTAGTTAAATACAAATAAACCGATAGAAGTAAACATGAAGTGACATAGACAGGTGTCGATTGGACAGTCATCATCCAGCATCATCATGTAGAGAAAAGTGACAGAAGATCCTGCTGAACCATGTTACAGAATGAGCAACACGTTAATATGGAGTGATGCTTACTGTTTAGTTTTGTTTCATTAAATTATTAAATCAATAAATGACTGGGTTATATATATATATATATATATATATATATATATATATGCTGCTTATACAGAATAACTTGGTGATAGTTGGCAATTGTAGGTATTCCTGCTAAGATCACACAATGCAGAGGTTTTCAGTCAGACAATGTGGGCCTCCTCTGACAAACCACCTCACCTCATCTGAATAACTTATTTTCTCTGTCCTGGGGCATCTGAGTTTCTGTCTCTGTGAAAGTGAAATCCACCAAAAAAATGTATATCTCTCAGCTCTCTCTCTTTAACCAGATGACACAAAATGAAATTCTTTTTACTTCAATTCCCTGAGCCTCCGCTGAAACTGTGTGGTGGCCCTCCTCCCAAGTCCCGTGGCTGGTCGTCTTGCCTCTGTACCACACTACACCCAGAGTCCAGCCGAGTCCATACTGTCTTTCACACTATTTAGAGTTAGCCACAGCTAACCACTCAGATCAGGTGCTTTGTGGTGCAGACTGAACACTGTGTGTGGTTAGTTTGTGGTTTTATGATTTTAGAAATACAAATATGTGATTTCAGCATTTATTTAAAAAACTAAACAAAGCAGTTCTACAGACTGTGAACTGTCCAGAAAGCATTCTTATTAGCAGTGTATACATTTATGTCAAATTTGAACTCTGCTCGTGTCCTGCTCCTCATCATGAATGCCAGAATGAATCACAGCACATAAGTTGTGCAGACATATTTTTTGGGGGGAATTTGATTTTCCATGTGGGCCGACGCAGCACTGATGATACAGGAGGACAGTTGCCAAAACTGTCCAATCAAGCTATAAGCGATCTGTCAGTCCACGTGACTTCCTGTTGATATGTAGGTTTGTTTGTAATAAATCAGTGTGAGGAAACCAAACAGATCAGAACTAAAAGGCAACGATAAATCACTTTTTTCTGTGGTTCAGGTTAAATGAACCAAACCGGCGTCAAAGTGACCTTAGTTTACGATTTAGTACTAAAAGAATGGACTGATGACACTGTCAGCCTGGTGAGAGCCGTGAATACCGGAGTCATTCCGAGCTCTTTTCTTTTTAAGGTCGTACATTTCAAGTAAATTTAATTAGAATGAAATCATTTTTCCCAGGAGTCCTCAGCAGGTCTTTGGACTTGATATTAAACTGATCGAACCGAGAGGGGGTCAGATTCCTCGGTCACACTATTCTTTTGGTGTCAGTAGTATGTGCACCAGTTGCTGTAATCACTGGGCATCAGGCTGCCGGTGATGAGCAAAATCAAGTCCACAAACCACCAGATTCCCAGGCCTCCCAGGGTGAGCAGCTTCCCGACAGCGGTGCCGGTGTGACCCAGGCAGAAACGGTCGACCCCGAAACAACCCAGGAAGAAGGAGTACAGCAGGGTGGTGATGAAGTAGTGTCCAGTGTATCTGTGGAAAACCAGCGGCCAAACAGATGCAGGGGGTCAGGGTGAGCCAGAGAGAAATATCATCAATTGTGACATTAGAGTAAAACAGGACCGTTAAGTGTTACATTTCATTTAAACATGATTTCTAAACCTACAGCTGTTCAGTGTAAAGATCCATATACATGTATGACAAAATAAATATTCCAATATTCAGGTAGAAATAATGGAAATGCAATTATGATAAGAATGAAATACAAACGAGTTCAAAGACGCAAATACAGAACACACAATCAATACAATATCTGTTGGGTCCAGTATAAGGATGTGGGTCCGGTACAGATAAGAAACAGGACATTACAGACTTCAGAGGCAGTGTGAAACCCACAGCTGGATTTTCCGCAGTGTCTTTGTTCAGATGTTGCTTTGATCATGTCCAGCTGCTGCATATCTCTGATCTCTGTGCAGTTTCAATAAAGATTAACTTCACGTGCTGTCGAATGAGGGACGCTGAGTGAGCAGGGGGTGCTGCGCAAATAGGGTGAGGTGGTGGTTCGACATGTTTGTAAACATTGCCCTCTAGTGGTCTTCATGATACTACAGCATTTATGTCATTAAACTGAATCAGTTTCAAATATTGTATATTTCTTTTTAAATTAATTTGCAGATATTGAAACATCTGGTTTAGCTCCCATCCATAAAAAATGGATAGAAGCATTACTCAGTCAATACTAGATAAACATTTGATTTACATCTGAATGCTTGTTACTCTGTAAAATATTTTCTTGTCTCAGTCGTTTCTGTGTTTACTGTATTTAATCTCTCATTACCACATACAACTACAAGTTTATGAATTTAAGAAGTTTTCCTCATTGTAATCAAGGGTTAAGGGGCGAGGTTTTTTAAAAAAAACTTGTTAAAGTCTATTTGGCTTCTTTTTTTTGCAATCGTTGTTTGTTCTTAAATTTAAAAATATACAAATCTAAATCTAAGGGTGTATACAAACATTTTTAATGACCACACCAATGTATACCGATAAATGTAAGTGCCTCTGTTACTCTTGTATACACATCAATGAAAAAAATATCCAACAGGAAAATTGTTAAGCCCTATGAGGCAAATTGTGATTTGAGAATATGAGTTATACAAAAAATTGAATTTGATCGCGTGTGTGTGTGTGAGCAAGAGAGAGAGCAGAGTCGGGAGGGGCTGAATGAATGAATTTGCACATCTCTAAGAAAGATTTGACCAATTTAAGAAAAGCATCAGATATTATATGTTGGTGTTGATATTTTTGCAATGGCTACAAACAAATCAATGCATGGTCACTGAGAAAAGCAAAAATAGGTAGAAACTGCACTTACTTGATGCAGGGCACTTCTCCTCTGAGGAACTCTCTGGATCCAGCACACTCTATATCATCGAGTGCAGTGCATATCACACGAGTGACGTTCACTTCTTTCTGAGTCTGGCCCCCCCACTGATGATAACAAACAAACAAAGATAAGAAAATATAAGAAAATAAGGGATGTGCTGTGTCATCAACATCATGATCACACCAGCTTCACAAACAACACTTACCCCGACACAACCGTGGCCCAGCTCGTCCCGAGCGCTGTAGTTCCCTGCATGATCCACAGGGTCCTGACAGTGGACGAACTCATCAGGTCTTCATCGTACAATGAAAGAAAGACATAAGAGAGTGAGGGATGTGGTTTGTCTCTGTAACTGGACGTACGGATGATCTGTAACATTTACACACGCCAAGCTCCATAGACAAAACCTAACAATTAACAATCCCATGTAGAACAACGCTAACGCCCACAACTTTATTACTGAGTGAGTAAGTTCAATGTATTACCATACTAATACTTATTTAGTTAGCTAGCAAGCTAACAGAGGCACATCAGAAGGACACGGTGCTGGACCACAGACTGTATATAAGGGACACTGGACCACAGACTGTATATGAGGGACTCTGGACCACAGACTGTATATAAAGGACACTGGACCACAG